GTGGATCAATGCGAAACAATGCGACGCAATGCGACAACAATACAAAGCAACGCGCAGCAATTCGAAACAATGCGCAGTAATGCAGAACAGTGGCAAACAACGCGAAAATGCGACGCAAACCGACGCAACCGAATGCACTGCGGACCAAATCCAACCACAGCAACGCGACAAACATGCACGACAACGCAAATCGAAGCGCAGCAACACAAAGCAACGCAAGCCAATGCGAAACTATGCACAGCGGGCGGCGACGAGGCAACGGGCGGCGACGAGGCGGCGACGGCGGCCACATGACGGCCAAAGCGGCCCGCAGGCAAAGTCTCCCCCAGGGGCGGCGGGTCTGGACCCGACCCATCTGCCCCGCAGCGCGCGCCTCTCTGAAGCCAAGAGGGCGCACGCCGGTCGGGCCCGTGGGGGACCCCCCCCCACACCCCTCGAGGACGGGTCGGGCGAGCCAGCGACAACACGTGGCCACTATTGACCAAAGGAGGAGGCCCCATTGGGCCAGCGAGCGCAGCAGGCCACTGTGGGCAGTTGTTGCGCTGTTCCGACCCCACAAATCAGGCACCCTAAGTGCAAGCACGGCTTGGGGAGTTAAGGACAGAAATGGCAGGATCAAAACAAGTGGAAAGCGGAAACGACGAAATACGAAGGCGACAGCTGGAAAACAAGGATGGAGAGACGGAGGCAGAGAAGGGAGACGTTCACAGAACGAGTGATGGAAAAGAGGGGCAGAAAGGTTGATATGAGGAGGGAGAAGGAGGGATAGCGGAGAACGACAACGAGGAAAAAGGAGAACCAGGAAGGAGGATGAGGAAGGAGGGAGGGAGGGAGGATGATGGAAAAGAACAGGGATGCACCAGGTGCCCAAACCTCCGACAATTCGGTTTCGTCGGCAGCTGGCCAACGGAGATCTCGACCCTTTCCTGGCGGCCCGGTTTTCCTCGGGGCAAAACACCTCGGGCACGAGCCGTTGGAATCGCCAGACAGGCACAAGCTTTTGAAATCGCCACGAACACAGGTGGGGGGCGCAAGCCTAACCGAAAACGCCGAACCGACCCCTATCGCGGACAGCCACGACGCGCCGAATGCGTTCCAAACCGCCGCGCGGCGTGCCCAAGCCCAAGCGCGAATGTGACCCCGTTCCCCCCCGAGCATGCTACGAAACGCAGAATGTAATTGCATTGAAGGGGCCCCAGGACACACAAATAAATACGCACAAATAAAAAGATCCCCCATATTTTCCAATATTTTCGGGGTTTCTGTCTTCCCCCCCACTTCCCATATTTTCCCATATTTTCTGGGGAATCCAGGATTACTTGTGTCTGTGTGTTTCTTTTCCTCACTGTAAAAATCAATCGGACTGGGCCTGGAAGTCGTCATGTCGACAGCGCGCGCCGTCCCTGGACCACAGGAGGCCACTTTTTCTTGGCAGCGCGGGCCCCAGACGTCTCGACTCCTTCGCTGGGGTCGAGCTCCCCATCCCGAGTCATATCTCGACGGTCCTTAGGACCCCTCCCCACCCCCCTCCTCCTCCTCCATCGTCCTCCTCTTCCTCCTCCCCATCCCCTTCCTCCTCCTCCTCCTCCTCCTCCCCCCCCTCCTCCTCCTCGTCTCCCCACCCCCCCTCTTCCCCTCACTCCTCCTCCTCGAACGCCAACAAATGCCCAATAACTGTTAAACGCCATGCGTCGTGACGTTGCCTCACGCGACGGGGAGTCGCTATGGGTGCTCCGCCGCCACGAGGGCGTGGTCTTCCCGCGTGGCGTCCACCGCGCGCTTCGCCACGACGGCCAGGGCGCGGCGTGCCTCCTCGCCACAGCCGGCACCGTGCGCCTCCGTCGCCATCGCGGGGAGGTTGATATCAGCGGCGCTGCAGCTGCGAGCCGTGCCGAGGAACCGGTGCTCTGGCTCCTCGTGGCGTTCGGCGGCAGTCCGTCTCTGTCTCGAGCCACCCGTCCAAACCCACCTGCGCGATCTCCTGACCGCTGCGCCAACTCCCGAGGGTTGAAGGATTAAAGAACTACCCTACCCTGGGTTACAAGTGCGTGGTCTGTAAACCTCCTGGGAACCCCCAAAGCCTAGAGCCGCCAGGACGCGGCACATCACGCAGGGTTTACCCTGTCAGCCCACAGGAGTTTCAGAGCACAGCGCCTCGTAAACCAGGGTAGGGGCGTTTTTTCTGCCCTTGAGAGGGCCTGCCGCCCGCGCCCCGCGCCGCACGCGGAGAAGGAACACCGTGGGGAGGGCGGCGCCGGGCGCGGCAGGGGGAGGAGGAGGAGGAGGAGGAGGAGGGGGAGGAGGGGGAGGAGGAGGAGGAGGAGGGGGAGGGGAGGAGGGGAGGAGGAGGAGGGAGGAGGAGGAGGAGAGGAGGAGGAGTGGGAGGAGGAGGAGAAGGAACACCGTGGGGAGGGCGGCGCCGGGCGGGGCAGGGGGAGGAGAGGTCCTGGCCCGACGGGGCGGCCAGGGCGCGGGGCCCCGCCCGTGCGGCGGGCCCCCG